TGCTAGGCTTAGGATTGGGTCTTGTCCATCACATCATTCTTCTAATGAAGTGATCCCGTTATCAATGACATCCAATGTCCATGGTCAGGAAACCGTAACCATCTATTGATCAACGAGCTAGTCAACTAGAGGCTTACCAGGGACAGATTGTGGTCTATGTATTCACACGTGTATTACGATTTTCGGATAATACAGTTATAGCATGAATAAAAGACAATTATCATGAACAAGGAAATATAATAATAACATATTTATTATTGCCTCTAGGGCATATTTCCAACACACCCCCCTCATAAAGCGTATAAAAGATAATATAGACCTTTGACAAATTATACATACTTTATATGTATGGTGGGTCATCCGGTATACACGTACTTCCTCTGTTCCGAATTACTTGTCGCACGTATGGATGTATCTAGATGTATTTTAGTTCTACATACATCCATTTTAGCGACGAGTAATTTGGGACGGAGGGAGTACATAATAGTCCGATGAGGGAACGGGCAATTTCGATATTTTATGGCCCTTTAGGGAAAAATAAAAGCAGACGCGAGGGGAGTCTAACTCCAAACCTCCTGTATTCATACTAGCGATGGGAGCCGGATCCCCTGACGTACGGCCACCTGACGTTGGGCCACTGATGCGTGGGTCCGGGTCCACACGTCAGCGAGTGCGCCGTACGTCAGAGGAGCTGCGTCCCTAGCGATGCTAGCTAGCCAAGCTACAGGCATGGATTGCATTATGGCAGCGCTAAACTTAAAGTACTAATTAAAGCGGCAGTTTCGTTTTTTACTTTTTTTTTCAATATTTCTTGGAAACAAGCATGAACAAAATTTCTTGAAAATGAACAGTGTTTTGAAATCATAAAAAAAGTCTAATATTCTTTTCTTAAATGTAAACTTTTTTAAATTGTGAACAAATTTAAAAATATATATTTAAAATACACCCTGAACATTTTCTTAGTATACGCTGAACTTTATTCAAATACATACAGAACATTTTTTTTAAATATATGGTGAACTTTTTTGAAATGTACATCCTGAGTATACGCTAAGACCTCATCTAGCCATCTCAGGAAAAAAATAAGAAGGATCTGGAGAGGTCGCTGCTCTCGGCGCCGTCTGCCCCCAACGCCTCTCATGCCTTCTCTGAGGCCACATTGCCGACCCTCTCCTCCTCGCCATCTCCTCCGCCCCACCAAAGTCATCTTGAGTTACATTCATGATGGTCTAGAAAAAATAAACAAAATCGATACTCAAAAAATAATTTTTAAAGATCATTTTTTTGCAAAGCACAATAAGTGTTATTTCTTAATGAAGTTTTGGATGCAAGTTAAACACTTGAACACTTTTATTTGCAAAAGATATTTTTTATCTATTTTACCTACATTTACTATTCACTTGGATGCTTGTGAGCTCCAGAAAAGAATGAATATCCAAAAAAAACCTACCGATATTTGTTATACATGTGATGATCCCCCACATACTCTGCCAAATAAACAACTTTCGGATCAATGCATTTCAGTGTTTCGTGCAACGCACGGGTATCTTACTAGTATAACTACAAAAACGTAGACGACTAGAACAATCCCTCAGCGACCGGTTTACTTTACTGAACCAGACTTTTCCCACTATCTATTAGGCTTTTTTATTAATTTTTTTCTTTTTATTTTTTCCTTTTTTTCGTATCTCTTTTTTTTTATTAAAAATGCTCACAATTATAAAACTTGTTCAAAATTTCAAAAAAGTTCGCCTTTTAATTTTTTATTCATAAAATACTAATATTTGCATTTTAAAAGATTGTAATTTTTTTCCAAAAAATGTCCATGTCTTTCAAAATTGCCCAGATATCAAAACCTGGATGTTTTTAAAAATGGTATACAAAATTTTGAACACGAACATTTTTTGAACATTATTGGAAAACACTAACAAATTTGGAGTTTAAAAACAGAAAATATGAACAAAATTTTGGACCTAATTTTTATAGATTCCCTGAATATTTTTTGAATTTTTGTAGAAAAAATAACCATGTTCACGTAGGATGCCCTGGTAGGCCAGAAGCCTCCATCTGAGAGCATATTATTTTTTGACATCCTGTAAATGACCACATTTTTTCCAGTGGCTTGTATGACAAATTTAAGGTACCATTCCAAGTTGTTTCGGTTTCGATTTTTATTTTCATTTTCTGGAGTTCGGTAAAAAAGGCTGATAAATGACCGGACGTGTCGCAAGTCAATACGGGGTAGGAAATCATTCAAACATGGCATGGATGACTACCACAGGCATGCCCACTAGTTTGCAAAAGTTTGGGTCAGTCCTGAGATAAATACCATGTTCAATGGAGAAGGGTCCGTTTGGTAGCACCTCATTTCTCGGCATCACTTAGATGACCAATTTTTTTTCATGGCTTTGTATGACCAATTCAAGACACCATGTCAAATTGTTTGGATTTCCGACAAGTTTTGTATTTTCTGGACATGATAAATTTCATTGAGTTATGACATTTTATGCATTTTGTAGGGTTTTCTCGGTGAAAAACCAAAACACTAGCCGAATGTGACACAACGTGCGCTCTTTGTTTGAATTCCTTCAATTTTTGCATGAAGACCTGACATGAGCATGCCCACATGCTGACAAAATTCGTTGTCATTTCATGCATCTCAAGAAGCACACCATGTTCAAAGGTGGTCGTTCAGGTAGGCTGATAGGGCAAGTCTGGACACACCTTTTTTCACATAAATAAAATGCACCAAAAAATTTCCCACACACTAGCATCACCATGCCAAGCATACATGATAAATTTCATCGAGTTCTGACATTTTATGTATTTTTTACGTTTTTCCCTGTGAAAAAACCCTAAAACACTAGCTGAACATGATGCAACGTGCGTTAGGTGTCCGAATTCCTTCAAATATTGCATGGAGACATGCTATGAGCATGCACGACAAAATTTATGTCATTTCATCATGGTAAAAACCACATCATGTTCAAAGGTGGTGCTTCGGATTGGCTAGTAGGGCAAGTCTGAATGCATTTTTTTCACGTTAATAAAATGGACCCATTTTTTCCCACACACTAGCATCACCACGCCAAGCTCCATGATAAATTTCATCAAGTTATGACATTCTATGCATTTTCTAGGGTTTTTCCGGTGAAAAAACCCCAAAACACTAGCCAAACGTGACGTGACATGCGTTCATTGTGCGAATTCCTACAAATTTTGCATGGAGGCCTGCCATGAGCATGTCCACATGCTCGAAAAGTTTGGTGTCATTTCATGCATGTCAAGAAACATATCATGTTCAAAGGTGGTGGTTCGGTTAGAACTATAGGGCAAGGCTTTTGTTGATTGCAATTTCTCTCATTATCAAACAACATGAACATTTCCTTATATCCGAATTATTTCTTGAAATTTGTCAACAATTTTGAAATTTCAAATTATGTAGGCAAATTTTGTGAACATGCACACTTTTTCCAAAATTGTTAATAAATTCCCAGATATTTATGTTGTACACAGATTGCAAACCACATACTTTCTGTAACATTTATCAACATTTTCAAACAGAAATAGTTATTACATTCATGAACAAAATATTCAAAATTGGGAACATTTTTTGAAATTCCTTGAACATTTATATAATTTGTAAAAAATGTTTGAAAATGGTAACGTTTTTTGGTATTCCTAAAATATTTAATTTTGTTTAAAAAAGTTTGGTATTCCAACTGGGCGACTGCATCGCTTCCAACGGGTATCTGTTGGGCCGGGCCAAGCATTCGCCGATTTGAAAAAAGTTCATCAATTCTGAAAAAGAATGTTTATGATTTTTTTTAAAAAAATTACGGGCTTCTTAAAAATGTCTGTAAAAGTTGAAAAGAGTTCCTGGGTATGGAAAAAAAGTTCATGAATTTGAGAACAATGTTTGCAAATTTAAGCAAATGTTCACGAATTTAATGGAAAAAAGTTTGAGTAGGGCGTTTGGGTTGGGCGGCTGGTTCCATCTCACGTTACCTTTTTCAACGTCGTTTAAATGGACCAAGTTTTTTCTAGGGCCTTGTATCACCATTCCAAGGCACCATGCAAAGTTTTTGTGCTTTCGACAATTCTGCATTTTCAAATAATGTTCGTGCTTTCAAAATGTGTTTGGAATTTAGAAAATAATCCTGTATTCATTTTTTACACAAACACAAAATATGTTCACGTAAATTGAAAATAAATTGGTTTTAAAATTTTGTTCATATATTCTGATTTTTACTTGAAATTTCAAATTTCGCAGTGTGTGCCAAGATCACTACGGAAGTGGTATATGCCAAGATGAAGCATCAAGTCGATGCGAGTCTTTACTCAGGACAAAACACTTGAAAGCAAGAAAATTCATGTCTTATACTCCCTTCATTTTTATGTACAAGGCCACAAACTCAGATTACAGGTACTACCAAGATAAAATTTAATGCATATGTTGCAAGCCTGCTTTTCTTTTCGTTTATTGGGACCATTAATACGTAACATGCATGCAAGAAACTGAGTGGAGAAAGTAGCTAGTGTCATTATGATTGCAAGCATGCGAGTAGTAAACGGGTTGCTAGTACGAGAAAATGTCATTAATTCTTTCCTCGATTACTGTTGGTGGCCTTGTATAGATGCAAAATGTATATTTCATAGTGGCCTTTAATGGAGGGAGTATCTAACTATCCATGAAATATACATTTAGTGGCATGAGATGCCTCCACTATAATCCGCACCATTAATGTTTGATCTGATGGCCTATAATAGTTTTTCTAGTTTTTGCACCACATGTACAGATTATATGCTAGTCACTCCCAATAAAGTGAAGCTATAAGGGACACAACTTCAAAAAAAATGAAAAAGAAACTAAAGTCTAGGCAATACCTTTTCTACACAATAATGTATCCTAATACGGTAATATCTAATTTCCTCTATATGACTAAACGAGACAACACGACACACCCTCTTTGCACTCTGTATATCATCACTCAATCTATCTATAGGCAGTAATGCCCAAGAAAAGGCAAATGAACCGAGCCAATCCACAAGCACCCGTCCCTTTCCTCTAGTTCACTGATGGATCCAAACATCTTCCTCGCCGTGTCGTGAACGATTACCTCTTCCAACACCTTCCCCTCCTCGCTGACCCTCAACGCAATCACCTGACTTCCAAACCGGCTCAGGAACGCTATGACACGCTGCACGCGCTGGGGTGGCAGCTTCATGACCAACCTCCTCAACCACGGGAAAGAGGTGGACCACTCGGCGATCTTACCTCGCTTGCCATGGAGGCCGACCCAGAAGCCGCCTCTCGGGCTCGCCTTGATGTTGTCCGGGAAGCCCAGTAGCTGCACGAGTTCCTCGAGGGTTGAGGCCTTGGGTGTCTTGAGCCAGTATCGGTGGATCTTGCAAGTTGTGGTCTCGGCGAGGAGAAGGTGGGATCCGTCTTCACTCATGAGAAGGCCGTTGGGGAATGCCAGGCCGTCGACCAAGACTTGAACCTCGTTGGTGTTAGGGTCATATTTGAGCAATCTGCCGGTGGCATCACCGGATATGACAATGTTCAAGAACTGCCTGCAAATGAAATACAAGCCTCACTCGTTAGGTTAACTAGTAGTACAAATAACGATGCTTGTGTGTTTGGAATGTGAGAATTTGTCCTGATTCGTGCGGATATTCATGCACTTAAAACATGCCTAAAACTTCACCAAAGTAAGCAGAAGAACTGACGGGGATGGCGTTACCTTCTGTGGAACCTCGTGCTGGTCTCGGTGAAGTAGACAACTCCAGTTTCCTGGTCGATCTCGACACCGTTGGCGAAGCTGAAGGGGCTCCCAGGCTGTCCAGGCCCAATCAGCCTTGAAACGTTATCCCCGGGGCTGACCACTCTCAGCCCAAAATAGGAATCTGCGACGTACAACTCCCCAGTTTTATTGTTGAACTTGAGGCCCAGCGGACGCCCACACTCGTGCTCCTTCATCGGGTCCTGGGATCCTCTGCAACTATCCAATCTGCAGATCACACGAGTGATCAGCTTTAGTCAAATCAAAGACGCTTAGCGTTAGCTATCTCGCCTTGATGTTAATTAAATGTGGACGATGTTGATACTCAGCACTATTACTCGTCCCCTACATTCTCATCAGAATGTGACGTATAAGACTACAGTACTACACACGTGGTACATATGTAGTACTTTGGTGTTGTACCAGTCATGATTTATGGGGGTACGCTATCTATCTGAATTTCTGACATGATCGGATCAAGATGTTGCTTAAAAGCAGTGTAGATGGTTTCGTTTTATTGTTATCAGAAAATTTTTCCCAATTCAGGAGAAGTGTATATTTTCAAGGGATGTGATAGTTTTTTGTTTTTTGCTTTCTTGTTAGAAATGGCATTTTGGATTCACGGCAGGTACAATTCTCTGTGTATCTACGTTAATCACAGCCTTCATTTTTGAAAAGAAAATTCGCATAGATCCACGACATAGTAGGAGTATCTATCTGTCCTGTCAGTAGTCAGTCCCCCCGGGAAAAATCTGGATCCAATTGGTAGTTTGCCACGGGTGTCGGAGACAGGACAGGAAGGGCAGCTACGTGAGACGGTGATTGCCTTTTTGCCTTGTGCTGAAGAAGATAACAACAGTGCAGCATTTGGTTGCTTGTCCGCGCGTGGAGCCATCGACAATTCTGTCTCCGGCGGGTAGCGCGGCAAAGCAGGAGCAGCCATACTGTGACGTGACATCATTACCAAACGATTTAGCTAACCAGCGGTTCTAATTAATCATAGTCGCCGTAGTAGTACGTAGTACAACGTCGGTTTCCGATCGAGCGGCGTGCCGTCCATCAATCAGAGAGTTAATTATAGTCGAAGGAAAGAATCACTGAGTTGATCAGAAGTGAGTCGTGCAAGGCACAATCACTGAGAATTGCTATTTCGTTCCTCTCAAAGAAAAACAAGGAATAAACTGATGAGGTTGCTCTACTTTGAGGGGGGTTGGAGGGCTCGTCATGCAACACATGCAGATGCATTATGGAATCGGAGAAGCAAGGAGACACGGTAGTGCGAAGGCTTACAGCTCTGGCGCGGCGGCGGAGGAGTGCTCGACCCAGCGGCCCTCGTCCGGGAGCCACCGGATGACCCTCCCGTCCGACACGCCCGCGTAGGGGCCCTCGCCGCCCACGCCGAACGCCACGCTCTCCGGCCCCGCGGCGCCGCCGTCCACGGGGATCAGCTCCACGTCGCGTATCTCCACCACCGCCCGCACGTCGCCGCGCAGTGGCGATGACGACAGGAGCGCCGCCGCCAAGGCCAACGCCACGGCGACCGCCACGAGCCTGCAGCTGATGGTCATCATGGTCGCCAGCCACGTACGCGGCGATACCACGATCGATGGAACGCAGGGGAATATAGATGACGCCGGGCGACAAGGGCTATATATGGCCGCCTGACACGGCGACGCCCACGCTAGTTTGAACGGATTTAAAGGGAAGGGATGAGACCTGGAGTCCTACGCGTCGTACTCGTATACGATGCAGTATAGTAGTATGTCTGGTGCTCTGGTCTCGTCTCGTCGTCTTTCGTGTATGGCGCTCCCTTGGCAGGTGGGACGGACGGTGGTCACGGTGCCCAGACTCCTAGAGGAGACGACGAGACTTCGGTGGCGCGCACGTCACTTATCCCCGGAGACGCGGGCAGCACGCACGCATGACACACACCCAAAGCCATGGCACTTTCGTGCAATTGAGTAAAGTCTGCTTTAATCCTGAGGTTGGAAAGCTCGCCGTAAATGAATCCTCACCTTTAAATCTCTCGAAATAGACTTTGGTCCCGCTTTATATAAAAAACAACAACCATCAAAATACAAAGGCGAACGATGCAAGGTGGTGAGGTAGTCCTCTTAGGCATGGCCAATGCTCTATGCTGGACAGATGCCTCAGTTGCCACATCAACCAAAAGTGGTCCAAATGGGTTTAATCATCTGCTTTTGGAGAGAACCTGCCTACTGCCGAAGAACCGGCCTCTTCCCTGACAAAAAGATGAAGAAATGGGAAAAGAGAAGAGAGAGAACCAAAAGGAAGAGTGAAAATTCAAAAAAAGGAGGGAGGTGAGGGCCTAATAGAATATTGTTTATTTTATACATGTAAATCATACTAGTTATTTCATCTACGTGGATGGCATGAGGCACCATCAACATGATGCCTCCATTGTACATGCCCATACAAAGCCGATCCCATGATAATCAGATCACGCAGAACGCACGCGACTACGCTACGAGCAAAGAACACACAAAGATCTGAACACAGCCCACGCGATCACCTAGCACACCTAAACTCCACGACAACGCCCCCAAAAGGGAGAACGGCGCATAGCGTCGCCGTTGCCGAGTCCACAGTGGACAAAGGTCTTCACCCGAAGCCCTGACACGGAGAGAAGAACCTCGACAGCGTCTTCAAGAAGAGCGTGCCACCAATGGTCTTTCGCTCTGCAAGTCACCCGTGCCACAACGAGACCGCCAGGACGAAAGTGACCAGGTTAGATCCGTAGATCCAGATCATGGTGTCGCCCGAGGACAGAGAGCACACGCGAGCCACCCGCCGCAACACCCCCCGTCGCCCACACAAACCAGAAGGAGAGCCACCATCGTCGCGATGATGCCCGCCGGAGAGCAACCATGTGGACCGCCATCCGGGGCCGCCACCCCGGCATCCCTGTCGCCAGACACTGTACGCCGCTCATTTCATAACACACTCAACCACAGTAGGAAGAGCAGAGGCACACCATCTACTCCTAGCCCGACAATCGTCACCGAGTCTGGGTAGTCGCCTCCACCATAGGAGGCACCCACGCCTGCATCTCC